TTTCCTTCTAAAATGGGATGAGTGTTTTGGGGTTAGGAACTAAAAGATTTTCATTTGAGAAACAAGAAAAGGATTTAGGATATTGGTTTGGATGTGTTCCAACTCTCTCTGATGGCTTGCATGTATCTCAACTGTTGTTGAATTCCCTATCTTGGCCTGCATCAGTTAATTCATTGATAATATGAAATTAAATGCTCTATATTTGACATTCCAAATAAGAAAATACTCAAGAACATGGGTAAATGATACCTGCAATGATAGTTTTCTGTGACTTTGATCATTCTGTGTCTTTGATTCTTTCTTAAAAAATGCGATTGCTATGTGAAGGTCGGCTACTAAACCTGGATCTATGCTGGTCAGCTACAGAAACTAGATCTGTCATGGCATTTTTATACTAAAAAAAGTAGATTTCTGTTCTGTGATTATGTTCTGTTAATTGTTTTTGCAGGTTCAAGCCTCGGCTTGCATCTCTAGTCAGAAGAAGAAATAATGTGTCCACCTGCACTCCCATGCAATACAATTCCTTGCCCTTGATTCTCAACCCCTGTTCATAGAAGTCTGTACATAATTCTGATTCTCTCTCTCTCATGTGGTTTTACTTTGCAATGTGCAGCATCCTATTAACATCATCATCATCACCATCCTGTTAATATATTTGTGGAAAATACAAAAGAGTGGATCAGTGGTCGCTCTTGCTATTTATCCTTTGTCTCTGATCAATGGCAACCTGTTAATTGTCAAATACAAAGAGAGGGAAATATCAAACCCCCTTGAGGCGGTAAAATCCGATCAATTTATGAACGAAGTGGTGACTTCACAAAATTATTGAAGTACCTCGTCAGCTATTTTGTTGAAAAAAAACTGCCAAAATGACCTTATTTGCTATTTGAACAAATAGAGGTATTTTGAGCCTATGGTACACCGGACCAAGTTATCAAAATATCCTGGGTCATATGTTACGTACCTGAAACATGAGATTTTAATGAAGAAATATATGTTTCGGGTATGGAACGTTGAACAAGATATTCTAATGAAAAAATGTTCCAAGTTTGGGAACGAGCTTATTTATGTCATTCAATTCTAGATATTTTTTGTGGAGTTAAATTATCAAAATAACCATTGCTTGTGCAGGAGTTCAAATCCTTCTTTGCTAATTTTAAACAAACAAGTGTAACGTGGACACTTTTAAGCATCCACAAGCAGCTTATACACCACCAGATGTTGAGTTTTGAGACACTGCAGGAATTACTAAGACGCAGTTTCCCTATGATCCCTACTTCCTCATTATCGCCCTGCATTTAGGACTTTCCCCCTTTGGGACTTTCACCTTTGTGGTCCTCTACCTTGATATATTTTTTTAAAAAATTGCTTTTAGTAAAAGAATAAAATTTATTGCTTTTTTGCACTCAGATATGGGACAGATTATCAGCATTTATTTAGAATTAGTAAAATAATAGCAATATTATATAGTGCAATAACATTGGTTTTTTTTTAAAACCTAAACAATAGATTTTTAGGCACTTCCAGTGATTTTTTGAAATTTTTTAGTGTTGGCTCTTGCCGATCCGGATCACCAATCCATCGATCCTACATGATTTTTGAAGTAGTCGATCTAGGTCACCAATATGTTTTTTTAAAACATTGGTTGCAAGTATAGAACTTGGAACAACAGATTTTAGTAAAAATACGTTCCAAGTTTTGACAAAGGCTTATCTATGTTATTCAATTCAAGTTATTTTTGTAGAGTTAAATTATTAAAATACCTATATTTGTTCAAGATTTTAGATCGATTGGTAATGTTTGTAGAGTTAAATTATCAAAGTAACCATCTTTGTTCAGGATTTCATATCCTTGATTGGTAATGTTTAAACAAATGAAAAGTGTAACGTGGATACTTTAAAGCGTCCAAAAGCAGCTAACACACCACCACTCTTTAAGAATAATTGGGAGTCCCAGTTTCCCGATGATCCTTACTTCCTCATTATTGCCATGCGTTTCGGGTGCTCACCTTTACTGTCCTCTACCTTTGGTTAAGAAGATGTGTATGATGAAAGTAAATCAAATAAATTCACTATTTTTGTAGGTGTTTATATATATATATATATATATATATATATAAT